CTTAAGTAATTGATGTTGTAGGCCTACGCAAGCCTTTTCGATCTCGGAGGGCATACATTACACGTTTGCTTGTTGTTGCTTACGCTGGATAGCTGGCGCCACTTGTCCAAACGTCTGCTTTGCGGACATCATTTTGAATTGCTGTGCGCTTTTTTAAATACCGGACAGGCGAAAATACTGTATTCGCTGCTGGAACGTAGTCTGGGAACAACACGTGCAACATATCGTGAAAACCGCGGAGCAAGAAGCAAGCAGCTCAAAGTGTTCCGCGGTAGACCGAGAGGTGAAAGTAGACGACGCGGCTCAGTCATGTCGCTCCTCCGTCGCTGGTTGGCTGAACCACTCCCCAACAACGGCAAACGGCATAAAAATGGGTCTCGGGCCAATTTTTCTAATGGCGAAGAACGGCAGACGTGCGCGAAGCAAACAGCCACGCAAGGCTGCGTGAGAACGTCAAACAGTGCGGCATGCTTGCCGCTTGCGTGAACCGGCCCTTACGCAACGCTGGGCGAGCGCCCTCAACCCACGGGCCTGATAGCAGCCCGATGATGCAATCAGCGCCAACCACTCTGGCGAGTCTTACGCAACACGTGGCAATACCACCAATACCACTTGATCATGGATGCAACCTAGCGGCGGTTTTTGAATAGAGGATTGTGACGCCACCAGCGGCTGTGCTGATTGTACGTTGCTGACGTAAGGACTCACCCGGGGTCTATAAACAACCAAGTGACTCGATGCCAAGCAGCTGACCTATGCGTCAGAGAGAAGACAGCGTTATCTCGGCTGTTCGAGTGCCTAATCTGTCGGCCCCAGTGCCGAATATGTAACACCCCTATTTCATGCTGTGCATAAAAGTTGCCTTAACCCATCGCCGTCTTGTCCGCTCGTCTATCAGCTCTGAGCAGAAGTAGCCCCGAGCTGAGAAACACGCTACCTAACAAATTTGGGGACCCGCGACCTCAGCGCACGTACTACGCAACAGTGTCGGCGGCGGTGCGAGTCGTAACACTGGGCAAGCAAATGACTATTTACGCGCTGAATGTCATGAGAAAAGAAACATTTCGGTGGTAGGCACGGGCCGGTGCACTGCCCCATGGCTACACCACCGAGCCATACACACGATTAATCGTACCTATAATCACTTTAATTTCCCGTAAACAGCACTCGCCTTTAGCGAAACGGGGCGGGGCACCTGTGCAATGAGCTCTTGCAGGGAAATGGCTCAATGCAAGCGCACTCGGTACGTTTGCATCAAGCGCCCGTATCATTACTTGCAAGGGCTCATTGTGCACACCGATATCAAGAATTGTTTTCGCTACAGCCACACTAATGCGGCGCGGGAGCCGCATTGCAAGCTTGCGTACAAGCCACGAAAAATTAGCATTATTTTTTGTATGTCTTGTCGCGTACCAGTGTGCATGGACGTGCAACTGGCTCTTTGAATAGAGAAGGCAATAAATGATGTCATAACGCAACACCGTTTCCTGTCGAGCCTGATCGCTGCCAACCGTCGCTTCGTATTCATTCGCGTATACGCGAACGATTACCGAAGTGTGTTGCCGGATGAGTTCATCAGAAGCCGGCGAACATCGCAAGTGACCTGGGGCCATTCATTCTTTCAGGGAGACGTTATTTAGCAATGAGGCAACAATTTGGACTTGTATTGGTTCATCAAAAATTTGAAAGGCGAAAAAAAATTAATAGAAAGCTATAGGGCAGGAAGCTTGTTATATTGTGTCGTTCTTTTTTCAGATCTAGTTTCTCTCTCTCTCTCTCTCTCTCTTTCTTTGTGCTTTTGTGCGCTGTTTGACTTCATGGTGAACGTTGATGAGAATAGTGAACGCTGATGAAAATTGCCTGTCAGTTTACTAAGTGCAAAATATATTTCGTGTGTGAGTCTGAGTGAGCTCTGCAATTTTTGCCGACCTATACATATGCTCAAGGGTTGCAAAGACTCGTTCCAGCGTTTACAGAAATAGCATACGTGATTCGAGCTCATATAGAGTTATCTCTCTGTTCGGCGTATAAGTGTGTCTGTCGTTAGTGATGCCAGCAGAGCTAGAACTTGTAAATTTTGTTCTTGGAGATCGCAGGTATCAAATGTGCATTTTAAAGTGGTCAATCTTGCCCCGGCTTTTCGTGAAGGCGCAACTGTGATACCACGCGGAACAAGTGAATTCGTGAACTATATAACGCCTCCGCGTCCTTTCGGGTATCTGAATTTGTTTGGTGGTGGCAGCAGCAGTCATAGTGGCTCTCACTAAAGAGAATTCTGGCGGCCCGCTGTATGTAATGGAAGACAGCGCGTTCTTCCTCCAGAGGAGGGGGCGGCATTTTTTTTTTTTTTTGAAGCCGGCCACCAGTGTCACCTCTTTCAATACGCCCCCCCCCCTCCCCCTTTTTTTTTCTTACAAAATGGAAATTTTGATCAAGCTGCTTACGACCCACGACATATTGGACATATCGGGGCAGTTGCTCAGCAAGATTCTGCGTGCATCGTCGCCTACAGTGGTCAGTTGCCGTGTCCTGTAATCTCCGCTGACAGAAATGTGCATTGGGTCACATGCTTTTGAATAGTCCAATGAACTCCCCCCCCCCCCCCCCCCCCCTTCTTTACCGGTTCAGCCCTTAATGTTCCGAGCAGAGCATATGAGGCCGTGCCGCCCAACTTAGATCAGCAACTGTAACTCCGGCCCTTTGTATATAGCAGTCACCGAGGGACTTCCAGCCATATAGTGCGAACAGCAACTAGCCAATTCTTGCCCCGCCGCGGTGGTCTAGTGGCTAAGGCACTCGGCTGCTGACCCGCAGGTCGCGGGATCGAATCCCGGCTGCGGCGGCTGCATTTCCGATGGAGGCGGAAATGTTGTAGGCCCGTGTGCTCAGATTTGGGTGCACGTTAAAGAACCCCAGGTGGTCAAAATTTCCGGAGCCCTCCACTACGGCGTCTCTCATAATCGTATGGTGGTTTTGGGACGTTAAACCCCACATATCAATCAATCAGTCAACTAGCCAATTCTCAAATTTTCACCAATTCATAATGACCCATTTATCTAACAGTACTGCAACCCATTCCGGCATTTAATTACAGCACTGTAATCGCCGAGTTTAAAATGCCCCCCCTTCACATGAGGTTGTGAAGGGTCGCCGCACGTCGAGCTCCTGACCCCGCGCGTGCAGGAAGTCCGAGAAAATGGGGCAAGCGTGGCGTTGTGGTTGACTCCTATCGTGGAGGGTGTTCTATTCATTACCCTCGCCACGCAGAATCGCGCACGCGCCGTCCTAGCTCGTCACCAAGGCCACGCGCAGGAAGCGGCAATACGGTGACGTGACGCCTCTGGCGACCACTTTTCCGAAAGAATACTGGGCATCCGTGATCTGACAGCCAGCCGGTGCAATTTCGAAAGCAACTACTTCAGAGCATGGACGTGGTCTTTGAGATGTACTTCTATTGAGCGTTTCGGGTTTCGTTTTTATTCGGCGCTTTCGCATCGCCGACGTTCGCTGGTGACGTTCACTTGGGAGTAGGCCAACTCTTGCGCGCAGCGGCGTAAGCGATCGGGTGGCCGACAAAACCCGGACGCGCACTGACGCGGCAGCTCCAAGTGGATCACCTTCTTCCAAGGTTTGTCGTGTTTGTTTTTATGCTCTATCTTCCGAATCAAGCTCTGTACCTTTCAATGTGATTATCATTCTTTGGAAACTTCGAGTATTTTAAGTGATGTTATGAAACAACCGTTCGCGGCAACCGCTACCCGTCGAAGAGACTCGCTCACTTCTCTTCTGCCACCACTAAGGCTCGCCGCCAGCGGTCACCGCCGGTGCTACCAATCTAACCATGATGATGATAGCGGTGATCAACGCTCGCGAACACAACGCCACCTACTGCTCAATAGTTGTGACTTTGAAATACGGCTTCTGCGCGAGACATATGCGTCACGCGACGCAAACAACGTTACGAGCTCTCCTGACCGTTTTGTTAATGGTAGCGATACCAAATTTGCTACAACCTACCATGACTGTAAGACGAGCATAATTACTAGTCATAACATAACATGTATGTCATGAATGTGATCATTTACATTTCACGGTCCTGCTGCTCTTGCATCGGTTTCGTTCACATGACATGTTGCAAAACTGGTATGGTATGACATGACTGCACGCCAAGTACAAGGGACAGACCGTAACGCGGAAATCATGACATGAATGTCATGTAAGTCATGAGTCATGACTACACGCCACGCTCATGGTGCACTCGCGGTCGTTTCGCTAGCTTCACATATACCAAAACTTGGTATTACGAGTCGCGAATGGATGACGAAGGTATGTAACTGGTGCAACATGATAATCATGAGATTCGCGTCCTGTAACAACATGACTACATACCACGCTCGTGATGCGTTCGGGACCGTTTCGCTAGCTTCAAATATACCGAATTGGCTATCACGTGACGCGAATAGACTACGATGGTAAATGACAGGTTCAAACATGATAATCAGGACATGCGTGTCATGTAAAACATGACTATACTTGCTAAGCTCACAGCTCGCTTGTGGCCGTTTCGCTATAGCTCCACATATACCAAATCTTATATCACGTAACGTGAATAGAAAACGAAGATAACTAACACGTCCAAACGTGATGATCATGAGAACGAAGGCATGTACGGCATTATTTACGTCCGCCTCGTAACATTGTGCTGATTTTCAAGTGACATATCAACCATCCCCATTCGTGCTTCGCATATCATCGATCCTCACTGTACGTGGGATCTACCAAATGTTTGTTTTCTTCTTTCTCGATTTTTCGCTCACGGACGATTTCTCACTCACAACCAACGGTGCCGATGCCGACGGCGAAATTTCTGCGACACGAGCTATCGCGTTAAAATAGGGCAAGCGCAGCGCTGTACTTGACTCCCTTCGTGGAGGGTGCCTTGGAGGGTGTTCTATTCATTCCCTCGCCGCGCAGAATCGCGCACGCATCGTCGTAGCTCGTCACCAAGGCCACGCGCAGGAAGCGGCAATACGGTGACGTGACGCCTCTGGGGACCACTTTTCCGAGACAATACTGGGCCTGCGATATCTGACAGCGATACGGTGCAATTTCGAAGGCAGCTACAAGAGAGCATGGGCGTGCCCTTCGAGCATTGGGCGCATAGGATTTCGTTTTAATTCGGCGCTTTCGCATCGCGGGACATACGGCGGCGTATTGCGTGTCGTCGTAGCCGTTCGCTGGTGACGTTCTCTTGGGAGCAGGCCAACTGTAGCGCGCGGCGGCGTAAGCGTTCGGGCGGCCGACAAAACCCGGACGCACACTGACGCGGCAGCTCCGACTGATCACCTTCTTCCAAGGTTTGTCATGTTTATTTTCACGCTCTACCTTCCGAATCAAGCACTGCACCTTTCAATGCTATTAGAATTCTTTGGGAACTTCGGTTTTAAAGAACATCTGTATACTTCACGGCAATTCTAGTGGGCCAGCCCGTAAGTACATTGATGTGACCCATAGTTACCTTTTGTAATTGGTTTCTGGTGTGCAGTAAAATTCACATATAATACGAAGGGAAGAATGTCACCATGAGGCTTGCCACTTGAACGACAATCGCATTAGCAAGCTTCGTCATTTCTTGCGCGGTCAAACATTTTTCGCGTTAAAGAAGTATGTTTTCCTCCCATAGTCCGCGTCGCTCCCCGCCTTTTCTGCTCCTTCTCTCTTGTTTCTATTTGGAGCGAGTTTTATCTACGAATCCGTTGCACAAAAAGCGCTATATATACAATTGCAATAATAGCGAAAGTTGGGCTAGTTGGTGGTTCATGCTTGGGATGTAAAAACAGCTCAAAAATATAGACAAAGACAGAGGAAGAGCCGATATCAGCGCGGTGTCATCTCTTCCTCTGTCCTTGTCTATATTTTTGAGCTGTTTTTACATCCCAAGCATATAACATTGCGTTGATAACCTTCCACTGTTTTAAATAGTCTATAACAAAGTGCATGTCGCCGTCTGTGTAGTAGTTTATTACACAGACGCTGAAAAAGTTGAGATTGTTGGTGCGTATTCGTGTTAAAAGGGTATACGCAGTAAACACGGGCACAATAGAAAACGTCAGGAAGCCACATACGCGAACTAACCGATGTGTAAAACAGAGATCAATAGGACATGAGGGATCACTGACTGGAGGTTTACCATCTAACCTATCTTTACCTTGTCGAGGGCGAAAGTGCATGCCGAAACTCGATCAATGCGCAGTTTTCTACGTGATTAAAGAAACGCGTCTATTGGTCGAGATAGATAGATAGAGAGAGACAGAAAGAGGCAATGGAAAGGCAGGGAGCTTAACCATGTTACACCCGGTTTGCTAGCTTATACACTGGCTCATATCGATAATAGGGGTAGAAAACGCGTGAGCAAATCATCGATTAACATGCGTACAGAAGAAATCAAGTGTCTAAACAGTTGTCTCAGCTAAACTACCACCTGTGCCGGATTGACACGAGCCACCTCTTGCACGGGCATTCGCAGATAAATGGTTGTGCACGTACTTTCCTTTCTGCCTGTGTCCGCCTTTTCATTCGTTAGAGGGCGTCTGTCGCGTCTCCTGTTCTGTCTGTGCTTGCACGCCTGTACAAGAGCACGTTCTTTGTATCTTGTAATTGGTAAGCATTATCAATTTGCTGCTTTTCAAGGGACCCAAGACCGACCCCTCAATGCTTTGGATTCCGTGACGCCCATGTTACGTCAAGGATCTCTCACAATCTACTAAGCTCACTTGTAACATTCTCACGCCAAGTATATACAGTATATACCCGTTCACAAAAGCTGGCCTTAGATGTACGCTTGTAGGAAATGCCTCCGAGAAACAAGCGCTTCATTGTCGATGCCTGCGTAACTTCCTGAAACCGTCTGCATTGTTGCACGTTTGCTATCCGTCGCAGATAGAAGGAACTGCCCTTGGCGTCGGCCTTGCCGACCATGGCGTCTTCACCAGACCAACTTCTGGAGAACACCGGCAAGGGAACGGCTGCTGCGCAGGTTCGAAAGTCTTTTGGTTACTTTCATCAAAGCAATACTCTGGCCTGTAGCCATAGGGGGGGGGGGGGGTCATAGAAGACTGGCCGTCTTCTTGAAATTTGGAAGGTAGCGTGTGTTTTACTGAGGACATTAATAAAAAATGGGTGAGTTTCAAGGCCTTCAACAGGTCCCCAAAATATTCCTGGCTACGGGCCTGCTCTAAAACAGTGATTTAGTCCTCCCGCCCCACTTATTGGAATGACCTTTCTTTCTACCTGATTCCTCACATTTCGGAAACACACCCATCGCCCCTTCCACCCCTAAGACCATTATTTTAAACCCTTAGTTACCTACTCATATGAGCAATGAGCAATCTCAAATATTGAATAATTATTTGGTATACCGCGAGAACTGCAGATGGTGGCGGTGAAAAACATTTATTCTCCTGCGAATAATTCTGGAACGTTGTTCTTGTATAAGCACAAAACTCTTCAATACCTTAACGAGGTACTCACCCTTTCGGGGACAGTCTGTCCAACTCATCTAATGGTTGCTTGCTGACGTAAGTGGTCTCTCAAGCTGCATACCATTATTTCTTGTTTCAGGCATGCAAGTCTGGATCTCAGGTGCTGTATCGATACGTGGGAGGTGTCTACCTCAACGTCATGTATCCCGAACAAAACGTCCTCTCCGCGTTGTCCTACAAGCCGCTGGACGTCGACCTCTTCGTCGCTAGTTACCCCAAGTGCGGAACGACGTGGACGCAGCACATCGTATACAGCATCCTTCGCAACGGCGCGACACCGACCAACATCATGGAATTCATGAGCAGCAGTCCATTCCTGGAATTCCTGGGGGCAGAAGGCGCCCGCGCCATGCCTCGGCCCGGGGCCATCAAGACCCACTTGCCGTTCGACAAGGTACCTTACTCGGCTAAGGCCAAGTACATCTACGTAACCCGTAACCCGTACGACTGCTGTGTGTCGTCCTATTATCACGTAAAGAACTTCCATTCTGTGCTCTTCGACGGCACGTTCGACGAGTACTTTGACATGTTCGTCGAAGGAAAAGTTGACTACGGTGACTACTTCGCCCACCTGCTGTCCTGGTACAAACGTCGTCGTGACAGTAACGTGCTATTTCTGACGTACGAGGAACTCAAGAAGGACCCACGTGACTGCGTGCTCAAGATGGCCGACTTCATCGACAAGCAGCAGTATGGCGACAAGTTGAGGCAGCAACCGGAACTGTTAAACAAGGTTCTTGACTCTATTAGCATTGACTCCATGAGGAAACTCTACTCCCAGCTCGGGGAGTGGGGCAGGCAATTGGCGAACACGCCTTTGGAAGCCCTGCCCGAAGCAATGAGGTCGGCAATGGAAACCATCAAAGAAATGTGCACGCAGCCCATCAAGGGAAACTTTGTGAGGAAAGGCATCGTGGGAGACTGGAAAAATCACTTTTCATCGGAGCAGATTACGAGGATGAAAGAGCTGATTTCTGCGAGGACAGCTGGTAGCGACGTCATGGATCTCTGGAAGGATGCGGACATTCCCCACTGATGAAGGGACGTTTGTGCTTGAATGTATTTTCTTTCATTCTTTTTTTATGTTTCTCATTGGTCTGTTTTATGTTTGTTCAAATGCGCCCTGCTCTTTGGTCCTCGTGTCTGGTGATAAAATAAAATGCTGATTGACTGATATGTGAGGTTTAACGTCTCAAATGCACCATACGATTATGAGAGACGCCGTAGTGGTGGGCTCCGGAAATTTCGACCACCTGGAGTGCTTTAACGAGCACCCAAATATGAGCACACGGGCCTACAGCATTTTCACCTCCTTTGAAATGCAGCCTCCGCAGCCAGGATTTGATCCCGCGACCTGTGGGTCAGCAGGCCACCTTAGCCACTGTTTTGACCACCGCGGCGGGGACAATAAATTGTGCTGCATGTGCACCGACCCCGGCATAATGATTTTACTTCGCACAAACCTGATCAGCTGGTATTTCATCAATCTAACATGCGCACGAACGATTTCTGATTTTACCGGGGAGCAGCTCATATACCACAGCTCTCTTCAAAGAGACGCACTGCTGATATTTTGTAGAGTATATAGATCCGCGGATCACACGGAGGTTATGTATGTCGTCACCGCATAGGACGTCACCCAAGTCTGGTGTAGACTCGAGCTGTAGAGCGGGGTGGGCGATACGAATGTTGCATAAAGACAATTGAGTGATTGTCACCGCCAAGACAGGTAAATTACACGATGAATATTTGTTCATTTTAATTTTTTTCATTTTTTTTCACACGGCGAATTGTTTTGAATGCGATTTTCAGAGCTCGGAATCTTAGTATTGATTCGGAGAATATAAGCAAACAGCGTAACTTGATTGTGACAAATGAATACTTAGACACTTCACGAGTGTTGTGTCGCTGCCCACGGCAAGCGATCTCTCACTTTTTTCTTCACATTTAAATTGGAATGTGGCAAATAATATACCCTATACTTCTTTGACATCATTGTCTATTAATTTCTATGATTATTGCGTTTAAAAACGAAATCGTATACAGCATCCTTCGCAACGGCGCGACACCGACCAACATCATGGAATTCATGAGCAGCAGTCCATTCCTGGAATTCCTGGGGGCAGAAGGCGCCCGCGCCATGCCTCGGCCCGGGGCCATCAAGACCCACTTGCCGTTCGACAAGGTACCTTACTCGGCTAAGGCCAAGTACATCTACGTAACCCGTAACCCGTACGACTGCTGTGTGTCGTCCTATTATCACGTAAAGAACTTCCATTCTATGCTCTTCGACGGTACGTTCGACGAGTACTTCGACATGTTCGTCGAAGGAAAAGTTGACTACGGTGACTACTTCGCCCACCTGCTGTCCTGGTACAAACGTCGCCGTGACAGTAACGTGCTATTTCTGACGTACGAGGAACTCAAGAAGGACCCACGTGACTGCGTGCTCAAGATGGCCGACTTCATCGACAAGCAGCAGTATGGCGACAAGTTGAGGCAGCAACCGGAACTGTTAAACAAGGTTCTTGACTCTATTAGCATTGACTCCATGAGGAAACTCTACTCCCAGCTCGGGGAGTGGGGCAGGCAATTGGCGAACACGCCTTTGGAAGCCCTGCCCGAAGCAATGAGGTCGGCAATGGAAACCATCAAAGAAATGTGCACGCAGCCCATCAAGGGAAACTTTGTGAGGAAAGGCATCGTGGGAGACTGGAAAAATCACTTTTCATCGGAGCAGATTACGAGGATGAAAGAGCTGATTTCTGCGAGGACAGCTGGTAGCGACGTCATGGATCTCTGGAAGGATGCGGACATTCCCCACTGATGAAGGGACGTTTGTGCTTGAATGTATTTTCTTTTATTCTTTCTTTATGTTTTTCATTGGCCTGTTTTATGTTTGTTCAAACGTGCCGTGCTCTTTGGTCCTCGTGTCTGGTGATCAAATAAAATGCTGATTGATTGATATGTGAGGTTTAACGTCTCAAATGCACCATACGATTATGAGAGACGCCGTAGTGGTGGGCTCCGGAAATTTCGACCACCTGGAGTGCTTTAACGAGCACCCAAATATGAGCACACGGGCCTACAGCATTTTCACCTCCTTTGAAATGCAGCCTCCGCAGCCAGGATTTGATCCCGCGACCTGTGGGTCAGCAGGCCACCTTAGCCACTGTTTTGACCACCGCGGCGGGGACAATAAATTGTGCTGCATGTGCACCGACCCCGGCATAATGATTTTACTTCGCACAAACCTGATCAGCTGGTATTTCATCAATCTAACATGCGCACGAACGATTTCTGATTTTACCGGGGAGCAGCTCATATACCACAGCTCTCTTCAAAGAGACGCACTGCTGATATTTTGTAGAGTATATAGATCCGCGGATCACACGGAGGTTATGTATGTCGTCACCGCATAGGACGTCACCCAAGTCTGGTGTAGACTCGAGCTGTAGAGCGGGGTGGGCGATACGAATGTTGCATAAAGACAATTGAGTGATTGTCACCGCCAAGACAGGTAAATTACACGATGAATATTTGTTCATTTTAATTTTTTTCATTTTTTTTCACACGGCGAATTGTTTTGAATGCGATTTCAGAGCTCGGAATCTTAGTATTGATTCGGAGAATATAAGCAAACAGCGTAACTTGATTGTGACAAATGAATACTTAGACACTTCACGAGTGTTGTGTCGCTGCCCACGGCAAGCGATCTCTCACTTTTTTCTTCACATTTAAATTGGAATGTGGCAAATAATATACCCTATACTTCTTTGACATCATTGTCTATTAATTTCTATGATTATTGCGTTTAAAAACGAAAAGCGAGCATTTAATTTGTCACACTGTCATTCCTTCATACATACATACATACATACATACATACATACATACATACATACATACATACATACATACATACATACGTACGTACGTACGTACATACATACATACATACATACATACATACATACATACATACATACATACATACATACATACATACATACATACATACATACATACATACATACATACATACATGCATGCATGCATGCATGCATGCATGCATGCATACATACATACATACATACATACATACGTACACACATACATACGTACACACATACATGCATGCATACATACACACATACATACATACATACATACATACATACATACATACATACATACATACATACATACATACATGCATACATGCATGCATACATACATACATACATACATACGTACATACATACATACATACATACATACATACATACATACATACATACATACATACATGCATGCATGCATGCATGCATGCATACATACATACATACATACATACATACATACATACATACATACATACATACATACATACATACATACATACATACATACATACATACATACATACATACATACATACATACATGCATGCATGCATGCATACATACATACATACATACATACATACATACATACATACATACATACATACATACATACATACATACATACATACATACATACATACATACATACATACATACATACATACATACATACATACATACATACATAGAACGTTATCTGATGTTTCTGTGGTAGCCACCTAACACCGATGGTTGCCCGCCTTATATCACGTATATTTTAGGCACCATTCATGGGCCACGCTACTCGTCACTCCCAGAGGCAGCAGTGTGAGGCAGCTGGAAGCTGTCAGGACCGTTTCTTTCTAACAACAGCAGGATTTGCGTAGCGCTAGGAGTCGTGACTGCCTGAAGCATTTGCGCATAGAGCATCGCCCGGTGAATCTCTCAGCGCTGATGTTCGATTATGCTGTCGTCATCGATGCATCACTTTGAGTCAAACCACCAGCTTTTGGCAATACCATAACCGGGAACAATAAGCTTCAAGCCAAAATATACGCTCTCAGTATACATCGCCTCATTCACGTTTATAAGCTGAAAAACAAAAAACTGTGGCAGCTTTTACAACGTAGCGTAGAACCATATTGCTATTTCACTGCTAATTAATTTTTTCATAACGCGCGTTAAGTGGAGCGGAGGGGAGTAGTGACACTTGCCCAGTTTCTGTGGCACTTTCTGTCGATAGCTTCTTCTTTTATGTGACCCTCATGGAGAGGGAAGGGGGCGAGTGCAGTTAGCCCAATTATTGTGGTGCATACTTGCTAGAAGCGGTGGAATGTCCCGCTGGGATTAACCTCGATTTTATACAGCTCTGCTGTTAAAGATTGTCGACTGTGGCCTTAATTAGTGGTTTCTAAGGGTGCAGCAATGCACATGCGTGATCAGTCATCACTGCGGGTGAGCTTGTACACACAATGTGCTTCCATATTTCCACGAGCAATGGTAAATTATATCGATCCTGGTTACTCACATTTCGTTTCCTAACCACAGACTTAGGCGAGATAATATTTTGTGCAATTATTTTTCGTTTCTGAACTCAACATTTAAGATGCACTTTCGCGTAACTTTTTGCTGAATGTTTTGAAGAGTGTAGTTGAATGGTATTGCTTCTTCGAAAGAAAAATTGGGGCAGCTATACGCACCACTGGTGCGAACACTGAGGAAGCAGTGAAGTTGGTGGCCTTGTCTTCTTCATCCTTATTACGTTTCATCCCTCTCGCTATACTCTGCTTTACTATACTATACTATGTTTTGCTATATTATACTATGGCTTACCCCTATTCGTTTTCCTTCTCCTCACGCTGAATTTCCTTGCCTACCCTCTTGCTATATCACACCATAAAATGTTATGCAATGTTTTCCCTCTCCACTCTTCCTTTCCCTCCTCTTCATCCTTACTTCCTTTTCCCACCTGCTTGCTATGTTGTACTATACTATACAAATAAGGATGTGCTATGCTTCTTTTTCATATCTATGTCTCTATTTGCCTCTTATCTTTTCTTCAGATGATTTTGTCAACAGCGGCGCGGCAATCGTATTGTTGTTTTCATATGTGAAGCGAAGCACAGCTGTGCCATCAGGTTGTGATGCAGCGCATGTTTTTGGTCTACGCCCTACGGACAACCGCTGTTTCAGTTTGAGTTTCAAACTGAGTTTCAGTCTGCGCTTGTTTGTCTTTTCTCTTGTGTCCCGTTGGTTTGCGCTTGCAATTATTTCATTATGAACCGCTGTTAAAATTCTGCTTACTACCTATAACAATATTTTACTCGGTATGAAGTATCTCAGTGACGAAACAACAGAAATAGCTTATTGTACGTGCAAACATGAAACCTGTTATCCAAGGTGCGTCAGATTTTTAGTTCTTTGTTTGTTTGCATTTCAAGCAATCAGGATGAACACAGCAATTGTTGACGTTATATGAGCACTTGTAGGGAATGTATTTTACAAAACTAGCGCAACATAATAGGCCCTTGCATACGCTTGTTCAAACATCTACATCATTGCATGATTCTCATTCATCGCAGGTAGAAGAAACAGCCTTTGTCGTCCGCTTGCCACAGCGTTTTCATCAAATCAGCCTCAAGAGAACACCGACAAGGAAATGGCTGCTGCACAGGTTAAGAAATAACTATTTTACTTGTGTTCCAAATCCCTTTTCATTTTATTCACGGATATTTATCAGATGCACATTATCAAACTAAGCATTTGCTCTGGTCAGTTACAGCTGGTCCACATGGATGTATTTACTTGTTGCAGGCATTGAAATCTAGTACCCAGGCCTTGTACCGATACGTGGGAGGAGTGTACCTCAACATCGGCTATCTCGAGCAAAGCGTGCTCTCCGCGTTATCCTACGAGCCGTTGGATGGCGACCTCTTCATCGCGAGTTACCCGAAGTGTGGAACAACATGGACGCAGCTCATCGTACTCAGCATTCTGGACGAAAGACCTGCCCCGACAAGCTTCACGGAATCCACGAGCAGAAGTCCACACTTGGAATTTACGGGGGCGGAAGGCGCGCGTGCCATGCCTCGGCCAGGGGCCATCAAGACCCACTTGCCGTTCCACAGGGTCCCTTACTCGGCTAAGGCCAAGTACATCTACGTAACCCGTAACCCGTATGACTGCTGCGTGTCATGCTATTACCACACGAAGACCTTCCTTTCGATAATATTCGACGGTACGTTCGACGAGTTCTTCGAAATTTTCGTCGATGGAAAAGTGGACTATGGTGACTACTTTGCCCACCTTCTGTCCTGGTACAAACGTCGCAGTGACAGTAACGTGCTGTTCTTGACGTACGAAGACCTCAAGAGGGACCTCCGTGGCTCGGTTCTGAAGATTGCCGACTTCATCGACAAGCAGCAATATGGCGACAAGTTGAGGAAGCAACCGGAATTATTAAGTAAAGTCCTCGACTCCGTTAGCCTCGACGCGATGAAGAAAGTCAATACCCAATTTGAAGAGTGGTGTACAAAAATGGCAAACGTGCCCTTGGAAGCCTTGCCCGAGGAAATGAGATCGAGAATGGAAATCGTGAAAGAATTTTTGCCGAAGCCGGGCACGACAGATTTTGTGAGGAAAGGCATTGTGGGAGACTGGAAAAATCACTTTTCGTCCGAGCAGATCACGAAGATGAAAGATGTGATTGCTGTGAAGACAGCTGGTAGCGACGTCATGGATCTATGGAAGGACACGGATATACCACGTTGAGGACAGAGTTTTTTTTTTTCATTGTCTTTTCTTGATTTTCTGGTTCGGGATTTGACATCATGACGATCACTGGTTGTTGGTCTTTGGTGTAAGTTAATCTAATAAATTAATCTGCCCACAAATGTGGTAAGCTATTATTTCAGAACGACATAATGTTGACTATGTCGCCAACCACATAGAAAGCTATCCGCATTTGAAAAGACTGGGGGATGAGAACTAGCCACTTAGGCAGCGCTGATACCGTCCTGCAACTTTTTAGTTGTTCCAAAATACTTTTGTCGTCGATCATACGTTATTTTTTTTAATTATGAAAGAACCTTATATTGATGCTCACGGTTTTTTGGTGTTTTCAGCAGTCTACTGTTTCAGAACTGTGACGTGTATATAAACAAAAGCTTCATATAAAAATACAAAACGCACATCCGTGCGAACACGCGCGTGCGTCAAATTGTGCTGTTTACTTTATTTTTTTGTTAATTTACACGTTCAATAAGAGCTTCAACAAATTGGGGAATTCTCAAAATTTGACTGGGAAGAAGCGAATGCTGGGATATACCGCGTTTATTTCACATATATTTTTAACAGATCGCTATATTTTTGGAGGATTGTGAGCATGCGACGGCTGCATGCCGCTGCGGAGCCGCACGCCAACGAAGACGGCGATTGGGTGGCTATGTCCCGACGTCATGCGGCGGAAGTAGCATCAACAGAGGCGCTACTGCCTTCCGTGCTGCCATTGGCTGTACATACACGACGGTGCCACCATAGAACCACTGTGTGGGCGCCGGGCATGCTGAGCAGAATGAAAGTTTGACATAGGGCACGAAGATTCTTGTCGAAAGCAAAGTCGCTTCTGCTAGTTCAATGTGTGGCCGCTATGGAAAAACGCATTAAAATCACTAATTTCAGACTCTGATAGGCCTGAAAACGAGGCTCTGTCATCCGATTTCAGCACCAAAGTTTTCATTGGCGCTAAATATTTCGGCGGCAAGAGTTTCGTTCACGTTTTGTTTGAGCATCGATTAGCTGTTACTTCAAGTGGAAGGTCTGGTTAATATGACACAAGATAATGGACCACACTTCGGCATCGGAAACTCGAGTGTTTTTGTAAGTGCTGTGAATGTGATCCCTTTGCAAGTGGCTGTTTTTCTCGATGGTTAGTAGAGAAGCTGTTTAAACCTAGTGATAGATTTCGTTCTAAAAGGTTGGAACTGAGTATACAACCACATGCAGAATATACAATTGATCCCAATGAATTAAAGGCGAATGTCATTTGGGGCTTAGCCACAAGTAATTGCGCGTTGTAGGGGGTAGGAGTGGCATGCTTGCTTTTCGTATGTCAAGTGCAAGAATACCCTTTTTTTTTTTTCAGCATGCTGCTCGGAAAATCCCCATTTCCAGTGGCCCTTTAGTACAGCGCCCTACAATTGCATATGTATAATATTCTTGTAAGTGTATAGGCAGGTGTCATGTCGCAGTGAACATCGCGTCACAACTTTTGTACAATCGTACTTTCGCTTAACGATCCTTGCTGTTTCAGTGATGCGCTTCTAGAAGCGGCTGCGACACTCCGTCAGGCATTGGTGATTTTCAGCCGCCAAGACAGCTCTAATATACATTTTGTTATTTGTCATTGCATAAAGTCAATAAATCAGCTGAGACAGTGCCTTTACAGAGACAATATCGTCAATTCCTTTCCGTTTTTTTTCCTCGTCTTCTCAGGCTGACTTTTTTTTTTTTTTTTTGCGGGGAAGAAGAGTTGGAAGTGGGTTGGTTCCCCTGTATAGGCATTCATATTTATGTTTGTATTTAATTGTGCATATACAAAAGCAGAAAGTTTTCCATCGTAAAGGTGCATGTTGATCCCCCCCCCCCCCCCCCTCCCACTCCCCGCTCCTTTGGGCTACACCTACATAATCTGAGGTAAATAACAATTGACCTCCTCCACATGTCGTTCTTGTTTCGTGATTTTGAGCGAGAGTGGATTCATAGGGGTTCAACGTGATAAAGTCCCACACATGCGTAGGCGTGCATTATCTCGTGAACGAGTTCGTTGATAAAACTCAGTAAACGCACTCCTGACTGCATAAAGAAAGCTGTCAGCTCAGGCCACGGCGTAAGATGCACTTGCGGCTTCAGCCCATGGCATCTTGGACTAGGGACGCCGCCCACATTGCCCGACTCCGCCGTCGGCTCACTCTACTGAATTGGTTTACTCCTACCCTTTCAAGTACATATTTAGAAATAGTTCCAACCGAGCAATCAGGACCTGAACATAACATGCTGCGCTGCCTAAACGTCCTACTGAACAATGTATGTCGTAAGAACAACGTTAAAAGAAAGAAAAAAGAACGTAAAATGAGGCATTGACTCTCGGCCTGAAATACATATCGAAAGACTGAACCAAAAATCAAGACAAGAAAATGAGGCGACAATGCAGCGCAAATTATGAACGGTTGCTTCGACGTTGTTCCTGTCCCGTTTTCGTGGTTTTCGTGCGTGAAACCGATGGTGCATGAGGCTCTGGGCTGGGGCTTCATACTCAGAAATTTGCGAGCAAAAAAAAAAAATCAAGCTGAATGAAAAAAAAAAATGGAAGTGAAAAATTATTCAAGTTTCGCGCGCCTGGTGAATTCGTTTCTTTGTTCAAAATGGCAGTGTTGTTATCGCCACAATTTGTCAAAATTACCTTTATAATTGTTTTTATTACGTTTTAAACAAATTTTTCACGTTGTTTCACAAAAAAACCTTCTCTAAAGAAGTTGTGTGACGTCACTGATGACACGCACTATTGATGTCGATGATATGGAACTGCGCTGGACTGCATGAAAAGTTACGGTTCCGCATGGTGATCTGCCGCTCACCACCGAAGTTTCGGGGCTGTGATTGATCTTCTACGCTAGCTCCTTGCCTGTTGCTTGTTCGAGGGAAGACAACCACTTCAGCTACACCCGCATCAAGTTTTCACTATGGCGGTATGTCTGGAAATAGTTCCTCAAGTAGCTCTCGCTACTTTGCCGTGTCGGCTACTTGTTGCATGACCAAATCGGGAGTGGTCTTGGGGCTGTCATGAGCATGGATGCTCAGTTTAGCGTACGAATATTATTCCGTTGATCTGGGATTCCGCGAATCATTGTACTCATGATCAGCCAATGTCCTCTGTGTATCGCCTCCGAAGGAGATGTTTATAAGCTAACGTGTCGTTTTTTCGTGACCCACTCGTAACTGAGACTCGCATCGTACAGCCGAAAGCGTAAAGGAGACCCAGTGATGTGATTTAACGTTTGCTTCACTACTACGACGTTTGTGTGTGTGTGTGTGTGTGTGTGTGTGTGTGTGTGTGTGTGTGTGTGTGTGTGTGTGTGTGTGTGTGTGTGTGTGTGTGCGTGCGTGCGTGCGTGCGTGCGTGTGCGTGTGCAAATTACCTTCTCTGTGACCGCGATCAAACGCTTGTTGCCGAGCATGGCTGCTCACAAAATGCAGGCCGCGTTTGAAGAAAATAACTGGGGTCGTATCCTATGTACGCAATTGTCTTTGTGTTTCGCCAGTTTGCATGCTTCAAACACGACCTACGCTTTCGGTGAACGTCTCGGCCCCCATGTTTCGAAAATATCTCGCGTATGCTGGCGAGTCATGTCTGAATCACTGTTCATTTATTTATTTATTCATTCAAGTGACAACATGTTATGAGAGGAGAAATACTTTTATTTTTCTTTACAAATAGTGATCAAAGGGGAAAAAAAAGTGAGAAAATGATAAATATATTATGCAATGGTTGCACAAAATCTAAACGGGAAATGAAACATTACAGAATGCAGATGGTAATATGTAAACATAAAGTATAGCTGGTGAAGTTTATTGAATGAACGCCATAGATGTGGACAAAGCATGGCATAACGTTTAGGACTGTATTTCGATAGGGTCAGAACAATCCAAGATACTTAGATAAGGCACACAGCTCTAGTGTTCTAGAGGGAGCATTTCCAGCAGCTCAATAAAGGTATTGGAATACTGTTGAATGGTTTCATACTCCGCATGTGTGCACGGTCATCTGCGATGAAGCTCATTTTGGTTGTTTCACAGAACCCTAATGAAGACACAGAATGGAACGACGTTCTCAGACAAAAGGGAATCCTGCCCCCAAAGAAGGAAGTGGAGAAGACATTCACCGAGGATGAGATAGTGAACATCGTGGAGTCGACAGTTCAAGAAAAGCTAAATGGTAAAAATTTTCAATACACGAATGTGAGTGTGAACAGTTCGTGACACGGAGGTGACGCACATTTGTTGATGGTTTTATAATTTGTCGCCTTACTTGGCTCTCAAGATAACTTTGACCAGTGCATGTAGGCATGACATGGCCACATTTTATACGACTTAGCACATAAGTGGCACACTAGGAACTCTTTAGACCTGGAAGCATAGAAGGACGTGAGGTGACGTTCGGTTCATGTTGGCATATCAATGACATGTATGTGGTTCTCTTAACCATACATGACGACATTGTGCCAGTCTTGTTTCAGGCACTCTTAATTGTTATTTAGCACTTTTGAATAGCTCCAGCCAGAGGTCTGCAAATTCACTCATACTCAGATAGAGCCACGAGTTAGAGTGTGGGTAAGTCCGGGCGAGTAATAATGTGGGAAGCTTTAGTCTGCATGAGTACAATCCGCCTTTCTGCGATGCCATGGGGGATGCGCCCTTCCCTAGCAGAAGAGTCGCAAAACTTCTCCCGGTCTTGGAGGGCTTCGTTCTAGCAATGCCAGTTCTCCCAGCTCTGACCAAACTCTATCAAAACCCTAGAGGGTAGCTAAGAAAAATGCAAAGGGTAAATTGGGAAAACCTTAGGGGAGTTTGAGGGAGTGCGGCTGTGGAAATTTTTGCCGAGTCAGAGTAAGCTTTAAGTGCAAAATATATTTCTTGAGTGTGTCCAGGTGAGCTCAAAAAAAAAAAAAGGGATGATGATTGATATGTGGCGTTTAACGTCCCAAAACCACCATATGAATATGAGAAATGCCGTAGTGGAGGGCTCCGGAAATTTCGACCACCTGGGGTTCTTTAACGTGCACCCAAATCTGAGCACACGGGCTTACAACATTTCCGCCTCCATCGGAAATGCAGCCGCCGCAGCTGGGATTCGATCACGTGACCTGCAGGTCAGCAACCAAGTACCTTAGCCACTAGACCTTTGCAGCGGGGCAAAAAAAAAAAAGTGTAAAAGCTCGTCATGTTTTGCCGACATTCGGCTCCAACCAAAATTTGTGTTTATAGTTCTTGTCATTTTAGAACCAACTTGGTTTTTGGTAATCAACCCAACTAGATAGGCAGTCTGTCAGTGTTTAGCTTCTTGTCTTTTTTTTTTTAAGCCTTTTTTTTTGTATGGGTCTGCATCTACGTGGACTGCTTACAGTGGAACTCGTTGGAAGTGTGTTTTTTTTTAGAAGTAGTTGCAAGTGTACGGTACCTTTCACTTGAGGCAGCGTTGTTGCAAACAAACTGCTTTCGGCACTGCCAAACGCTACTTGTGACCGAAGAAAATCTTAGGTGTGTCTGGCATCAAGTAAGCCAGTTCAAGTGAACCCCAGAAAAAACGGCTTGTCAAGCATTACGAGAAGGAGATTAAAACCATGAGTAGTAAAACAAAAGCTGTATTTGCATATGCAGTGTGGATGGATGGAGCATTTTTCACCTTACTGAACTTCAGCATTGCTGCAAAAAGTGTGCACTTCTGTAATAAAGTGACAGGGGGTAGGGGGATGTTGTTACCATGTCGATTGTTACAGATGCAATAGACCTTGATGTCAACGTACTTGCATTAGGAATAAAAGTTTGATTGAGTGAAGCTCCTTGAGATACTTTGCTTGTTTCTGTTTTCTGTGTCATCTAGTCTTGTCTATCGCTCTACATTTTATTTATACATGCAAGAAAACAACAACAGTGAAGTTGTGTTTTCATTGTGTGCTTATAAAAAGACAGAAGCCATTTATAGCAACACACAATAGTGCGACAGCAGTTTAAAATGAGGACTCCTAGGTTGGCGTAGGAAGAGTGGGTTGTCCAAAGAGAGCACTCCAAAGAGGCCTTTCGAAGTGATACAGTAGACTCATTAAATGGAACCCGAAGGGACCAGGAAAATATATTCTATTTAACAGGTGCCTGTTTACTGAGACATGAACAGGGGTGCAGCATATATGTACAAAACCAATCACATCAGAGGCACTTGTTCCGTTTAAGCAGCAGTTCCGTTTAATATATTTCTATTATTGGCTGTCTACTGTAATAATTTTAGGGAAAGAACATCGAAGAGGGTGTGATTGCTGGGAGTGACTATCATTCTTCAGTACTAAGAAAGATCACGCGAGATATCATCATTGTTTGTTTTTCTGGTCTCTGTAAAATCTGCAAGCTGCTAAATAAGTGAAACTGTGCATATTCTTTACATTTGGCTTTGGCAAAGTGCAGCTGCAAGCAGTCGGTACAGAACACATTTGGGAAGAAGAGCTGCATGCAGTATATGCTGCTTACAGTAAAATCAAGAGTGAGCGCCCGCCTTCCTTTTTTCGGAGATTTGTACTAGCGCTAATAGGGGGACTGAGCAAGCATGCCCCCCTGCCCTCCCACCACATCCGTTGTTTCCTTCATTTTTTTTATTAGCTAGGGAGTGTAATGACAGTGGATGCACATGCATTCATTAAAGCATTTCAGTCGAAGCACATGCACCTTTCCTGCTGCTATCTTGAACTTTGATCCGAGACCAAGTAAGGGCCCCCCTCCAATGCTGTCGAATTATCTTGCGCTGTAGGGAGGGGGGGTGCTTGCTTGAAATTTCACGGTATCCAAGTTTATTCTGTGTCTTTAAAGTGTTATCCTTGCTGTTATGTTTTGACTTTCACATTGGAATGAAAGATAACGCTGTTTGTGATCACTGCAGCATCTAAGAAGCAATGAGGAAATGGTGTTTTTTGTCTGCCTTTTTGCTAAGTCACATGCAGGCATTTGGTTGAGACTTTGTTGGCACACCTGGATGGCTAGCTTTTGGAGGAAACAATCCCGGGACGCTGACCTAAACAGTCAATCCACCAGAAGTCTGTGAAGGCAATATTGAAGTTTTGGGAGGTTATAATTACTCCACTCCTAAAGGCAGCGTCTCCTGCGCCGCGCGGCGCAGCAGCCAGCCCCACCCAGAAGTGGCTCCTGCGCCCCACGGAAGTGACATCACTTAAAAATTACTTCCTAGAGCTATTTAAATGTACAAATTAATAATGTACAATGCGTTATACCTACAAAAATTTTACTAAGCAGGTGTTTGACGAGTCAATCGGCCTATATTGGTTAATTAAACAGGTATTACGAGCATTTTAAATACAGGGGGCGCCATGGGCGCTGCGGCTGCGAAAGGCAAACAGTGCAAAATGGTAGTTGCCTGCGATGAGTGTTGGTGGTGAAAACTCCGGCAAAATCGTGACCTGGGCCTAGGCCGCCCCCAAGGAAGACCGGAGACCCTGTGTCGTCGCTGCTTCATGTGATTGCTGGATGCCCAGTTAAACCTATAGGTTGGAGCTAGCGCGGCCGTCCACCGCGCCGCACCTTCATCTGAGTGTGTGCGCCATAAAGTTTCTCAGTATGAAGTGCTGATTATTGTTGTTGGTCGTGCTGCATTTTCTAGATTGCAATGCCAAGCGTGGTGTTGTCAAAGATGAAAGTGTCCTTGCTGCCGAGTTTTGCTTGTCGGGAAGGGCAGGTCGACGATGAAATAAATGCTTTTGCACAGCTCACGTGTGACTGACCGGACGCACGTGCATGAAACCACAGTGCGTCTGTGAAGTGTTCTTACAATGGATGGAAACAACTTCATTGTAGTGTTCTTACGAAGCTTGTGATCTTCGAAGGTCAAAGCTACTGCATTGCCGGCTGTTTTGTTGAGCGCGAACACGTACGGCCGTTCTCATCCATTGCTACGTAAATGCTCCCGTGTTGTCACAGGCCATGCGTGTTATTCAGTAAAGCAGACAAGCTGCTTCGTAGTTAGATTGGCTAACGCCGTCGGCACTTCTCCGTGGGCATTGTTTATCAAGTACTGATCGCCTAGACCGTTGCTATGGCATGTCATTATTTTGAAGCGGCCTGCCGGTTACCTCGTCAGGGGATGATACACTGAGGGACATAAAAAAAATTTCCTCTGTGTTGCATTGATTTGATTTGTGGGGTTTAACGTCCCAAAACCACCATATGATTATGAGAGACGCCGTAGTGGAGGGCTCCGGAAATTTCGAACAACTGGGGTTCTTTAACGTGCACCCGAATCTGAGCACGTCCTCTGCGTTGCAGTGCGCCTTTTTGTCATCAAAACTTAGATAAAGCGTGAAAATCAACATTCCTGACGCGTATGCCAGAGAAACCAATGCAGCCAGCTGCATTTTAGTTTTTCGTGTCCTTTTGCGTCTCGCCGATTAAGAGCATTAATTCGCAAACTACTTTATCATAACAAATATAGCCAATTCTGCAAGAGTCATCAAACGTCCAATATTATCGGGCCTGTGGACAGGACCACCACCAGCAGCAAGTCAGGCTGACGGGAGGCCGATAAGCTGGCGCAAATGTTAAAACAATACAGGCGCGAACGAAAAAAAAAAAGTAACAAAGACTGCAAGAGGCTCGAACCACCGACCCCACCAGTTCATATTGTGCCGCTCCAGCCAACTAGGCCACAGCTGCCAATTGGTTTGGAACGATTAACAAGCCAGTTTTGTATTGTTGTCACGCTGGACCTAACTAAAATTTTTTTTATTTTCACGTTTGGGCATAACTTTTGCTGCTTCTATCGTTACGTCTAGACGTATTGCAAAACACTCCGACTATTCAAACAAAGTGTCTAACCGGAAAAGTGCATGACGTCACTTCCGTGCGGCGCAGCAGCCATTTCTGTGTGGGGGTGGCTCGTGCACCGCGCGGCGCAGCAGTCTCTGCCATTCCTGAACTTGTCTATTTATTTCTCTTGCAAACATGTATCATTTTAATGCTATTATTTTTGTCATTGTTTCCCCCTCTTCCTTTTTCCAAGTGTAAGTTATCAAACTATAAGTTTCTCTTTTCACTAGCAACTCTGCTTTCCCTCATTTATTTCCTTCTCTCTCAAATGAAAATTTAATTCTTAGCGGCCCTTGGCACAGATTGTGCCTGGCATTTCCTCATTACCTTTTGCAATGTGCAGGAACTGAAAAAGCCATGGAAGACATGACCCTTGAAGAGCTTGAAGAGCTCGAGGATGAAGAAGACGAAAGAGTGCTTCTAGAGTACAGGTGGCGTGCTTGTTTTTCTTTCTTTCTTTTTTTTATGTTCTTTATTCACCAGATTCCAAGCAGTGCCAAAAGGCGTTACAGCAAAGGGGAGGGGGGGGGGGCTAAAATATTGAATGAAATACATGTTCTTTCATACTTGAAATAGAACTTTATTCACACATAAATACGCCGTCATTCGTGTCACAGGGAGTTACAGCAAGGAGTAAAATACATCTTCGTTTCCACAGCGTAGTACTTGCTTTTCAGTTCGGTTGTATCACTGTTTACTTGGTCTTGGAAAAAAAAAAAAGTTGGCATCCATGTTTATTTAGTTGGATGTTCCAGGATTTTGTGATTTCGATCATGACGTTTTGGAATGTAGTGAGGTCTTCGAAGCCTGCATTGGTCGGCACACTGATACCCTGTCACTTGTGGCAACGTAAGTGCACTTTGAGCGAGTTCACTCCACCGCGAGTGTCATTTGCCCGCTATCACACGAGAAAGTTTAGTGTCACTCGCTGTGAAGTACACTTGCTGGCAAGTGTGTTTTTCAATTTCACTTCGCTGCGACGAAGTGTGTGGCCTCGGTAGCAATGGCTTTCACAGAAACACACTGTTGTCTAAAGCGGCGCTTATAGTACTTTTAAACCATTGTTTTCGTTGTTAGGAATACCCCTATGTATTAAAACAAGTCATACTACAACAAAAACCCTCGCTACTCTTGCCCTCGGGCTGTTTGCGGCCACGTCCGCTGGGGGTATGCAGCAGCACATGCTATGCAATGGCTGCGTCCATTGCGTTGTTTACTTCCTTGCACACTTGCACGTGTGGAGGTGAGTCGTTCTCTAGTCATTTGGACGGCATCTGCCACTGGTGCTATGTCCACGAAGGCTACATGGTCTGGTGCTGACACACGGGAGCAATAATGTCAAATATATTGCTACGTGCCAGTGCATGAAGCTGAAGAAGACAAAGCATATAGACTGACGCGAGCTAATCTGTGTGGCTGGCGCTGCTCGCCTAACCGGCTGTAAATACATCGGTGACTACCCCTCTCAGTCAGTCTCCTTCCCGTAAAATATTTGGTGGAGTTGTGCGATCCCCGTCCTCGCCACAGAACTCCGAAGCGGACGCTCCCTCGCGGCTTACAACATGACCACTCAAGACTCGGCTACATCCTCTCCGGTCGCCCGCCCTTCTGCTCGACCTGTCAACCCAGCGCCCGCAACAACTTTCGTGACGCTTCCCGCGCTCAAAGACCCCGGCGTGTTCTCGGGCAGCGAGGGTTCCGACGTCAACCAGTGGCTACGCCTCTACGAACGCGTCAGCGCCTGTTACAGGTGGGATTCCACTCTTATGCTCGCAAACGTCATCTTTTATCTCAACGGAACCCCTCGTGTTTGGTTTGATAACCACGAGCATGACATAACAAGCTGGGCCAGCTTCAAGGCAAAGATCCGTGAGCTTTTTGGCAACATCTCTGGTCGTCAAGAAGCTGCGAAAAATGAGTTGTCGACTCGCGCACAATCTTCCACGGAGCCCTACATCGGTTATATTCAGGCTGTCCTTTCACTATGCCGCCAAGCTGACGAAAATATGTCTGAACCTGAAAAAGTTGCGCATATCCTAAAAAGTATCGCTGACAATGCGTTCAACTTGTTGATATTCAACAATGTGTCCTCTGTTGATGCGATCATTCAAGAATCCCGCCGGTTCCAACAAGCTAAAAGCAGACGCATCTCCCATCAGTTCCAGCGCCTCCCGAACACCACTGCGACGTCCTCGTGTCTCGACACATCATCCACCAGAGACACCTGTGACAACTTGACGCGAATCGTCAGGCGGGAGCTTGAAGCGGCTGCTCCAGCTAAGGTGGAACCAACGTCCCCTGACCCCTCTCCGCCAATTACGTTGCCTCTCATTCAAGCAGTCGTCCGGGCCCCGCCGCGGTGGTCTAGTGGCTAAGGTACTCGGCTGCTGACCCGCAAGTCGCGGGGTCGAATCCCGGCTGCGGCGGCCGCATTTCCGATGGAGGCGGAAATGTCGTAGGCCCGTGTGCTCAGATTTGGGTGCACGTTAAAGAACCCCAGGTGGTCAAAATTTCCAGAGCCCTCCACTACGGCATCTCTCATAATCATATAGTGGTTTTGGGACGTTAAACCCCGCAAATCAATCAAAGCAGTCGTCCGGCAGGAAATCACCAGCTTGGGAATTCACTCTATCTCACCGCCTCCCCGCACCGACTACCAGCCCCGATACACGCCTGCACGTCCCTTCCCGACCGGCTCTCCCTCAACGTTCCATAATCCGTCCGCATGGCGAACACACGATGACAAGCCGATATGCTTCTCGTGTCACAGAATCTGGCACATTTCTCGCCATTGCAGAAGTCGCTGGGGTCCTCCTGCACAACCGTTCTCTCGTCCCTTCTATGCACGTCCTGCCTATCGTCATGAGACCAGCCGCGACCATTTTGCCCAGGAACCTGCTTCTGAACACCGCTACTCCCGCTCTCCATCCCCCCAACGTCGCCAGTCTCATTCTCCACAGCCCCGCCGACCATCTTCCCCCGCCTTCCCACGAGGTTCCCCGAAGGAAAACTAAGCGTTGCAGCCCCCGGAGGTGGCGCTGCATCGCTCGGACTAACCAAAAATCCTCTTTTGACGATACCGACAAAACGGAACCTCATAGACGTACAAGTAGATGGCGTACATATCACTGCTCTTGTCGACACCGGCGCCCAACTTTCCGTGATGACGAGTGATCTTCGCCGCAAGCTCAAGAAGGTTCTCACACCTGCGACCACTCAGTTCGTCCGTGTTGCGGATGGTGGAATAGCATCTATCGTTGGAATGTGCTCCGCTTGTGTGAGCATTGCGGATCGACACACAGTTGTTCTCTTCACCATCCTTGATAAATGCCCCCACGACGTAATCTTAGGCCTCGACTTCCTGTCCGCGCATTCTGCCCTCGTAGACTGTTCGACCAATACGCTCCGTCTACACTTGCCCGCAACAGAACCTCTTGCACAACGGCCGAGTCGCCTCTGCACAATGGGACACGCGCGCCTCCCTCCACAGACACTGACCTACATAGAGCTCGTCTCAATACCACCAGTTCCTGACGGTGACTATGTTCTCACCCCTATCACCGATGTCCTCATAAGCCGTGGCATGACATTATCGCACACCATTCTGTCCGTCGCAGGAAATTCTACGTACCTCCCAGTAGTCAACTTAGCTTGACACCTCAAGTTTTGCCACAAGGGACCTCTTTGGCGTTGCTCTGCACCTTAGAAGACAATGCGGTAGATGTTTTCGCGATGGCCGCCCCTTCTGACCCCCGCGCTCAACATCAATCTGCCACTTGCTCCGACAGCGCTATTACTTCGATGATCGCTTCCAACTTAACGCCGCAGCAGACTGATGAGCTCCACCGGGTTCTGCTGTCCTACATCGACGTTTTTGACATCAGCGGCCGTCCATTGGGGAAAGCTACCGGTATGAGCCACCGCATAAACACTGGTAATGAGCATCCTATTCATAGGCGTCCATATCGGGTGTCGGCGACCGGGCGTCACATCATCCAAAGTGAGGTCCAGAAAATGCTCGCCAAGGACATCATTGAGCCATCCTGCAGTCCTTGGGCTTCTCCTGTAGTGCTAGTCCGCAAGAAAGACGGTGCATAGCATTTCTGCATGGATTATCGACACCTAAACAAAATTACCAAAAAAGACGTCTACCCTCTGCCACGAATAGATGATGCGCTTGATTGCCTCTATGGGTCCCACTATTTTTCCTCCATAGACCTTCGTTCCGGCTACTGGCAGATAGAGGTAGATGAAATGGACCGTGAAAAGACGGCATTCGTCACCCCTGATGGCCTATATCAGTTCAAGGTCATGCCATTCGGCCTTTGTAAGGCTCCAGCCACCTTCGAACGAATGATGGACTCCCTGCTCAGAGGATTCAAATGGTCCACCTGTTTGTGCTACTTGGACGACGTCATCGTCTTTTCACCAACATTTGAAACTCATATAGAGCGCCTCTCAGCCATCCTGGGAATCTTCCGTCGCGCTGGCCTGCAGCTCAACTCGTCCAAATGTCACTTTGGACGCCATCAAATCACAGTGCTTGGCCATTTAGTAGACGCCAACGGTGTACAACCAGACCCGGCAAAAATCAGCGCCGTCAAAAACTTTCCGGTACCACGATCTGCGAAGGATGTACGCAGCTTTATCGGACTATGCTCCTACTTCCGACGCTTCGTGAAAAATTTTGCGCACATAGCGAGGCCGCTTACGCAGCTCCTCAAGAAAGAAGTCCCATTTTCATGGGGCTCCGAAGAGGTTTCTGCGTTCTCGACTCTCGTCGCTCTTCTCACTACCCCTCCGATTCTGGCACACTTCAACCCTGCTGCCCCTACGGAAATCCGTACAGATGCAAGTGGGCATGGCATTGGTGCAGTGCTGGCTCAGAAACAACACAACCATGATTGTGTTATTGCATATGCCAGCCGCCTCCTATTCGCCCCTGAACGTAACTATTCGATAACAGAGCGTGAGTGCTTGGCTCTTGTACGGGCGGTGGCGAAATTTCGACCTTATCTATACGGACGCCCATTTTTGGTAGTTACCGACCACCACGCACTCTGCTGGCTCAACTCTCTGAAAGATTCGTCAGGCCGCCTTGATCGCTGGGCTTTGCGCCTGCAAGAGTTTTCCTATTCGGTGGTCTACAAATCTGGCCACCTACACGATGATGCCGATTGCCTCTCCCGGTACCCTGTCGACGATCCTGAGGACACTGACGAGCCCACGGAGAACTCTATCTTGTCAGTGTCTGACTTCCTTAATATTGCGGAAGAACAGAAGCGTGATCCAGAGCTGCTTGACATCATCAGCCGTATGGAATCCTCCACAAATGATGCTTCCGTCCGCTACTTTGTCGTTCAAAAGGGTGTGCTATACCGTCGCAATTTCCGACCAGACGGGCCCGACCTTCTCATTGTTGTGCCTAAGC